TGAGGCAGTTACCCACCGAAGGTAATGGAAGATCATTGCTCAACACCATGGATTGACTGAAGTTAGACATTATCATCGTTGGATGCCGGCTCATTGATCCAGAGGTTATGCGTTTGTGGGAGGCTGAAGGTCCTGGCTCGAATCTCACATGCGAGATCATGGATACGCACTGCTAAAGAGTTTCATACTAAGACGAAACGGCGTTTCAGTGCTTCCAGGTTTTTAATGGTGGTCTAAAGTTGATTGGTTCATAATTTCGATAAAACTAAGCAACCTCCATAAGCACAAACTTAAATTTACAAATTTCATTCCTAAAAATCGAATAAGAACAGCTCGAATATATATTTCGTTTGCTTAATTGACATAATTGGTGAATGTTGAGTCGCCAAGTAGTGTTTACAACATGTCATATGTAATAAAAAACAAAATATAGAAAATCATCCACTCAGTTTTTCACACAAAGTTTGTAATTTTCTAGGGCAGGTGAAAAACTTTCAGAATCTCATAGTCTATGTTAGAATGTTTTTCATTTAATCAATCAACATTTTACTAGTTAACATTTCAATAGTTCACTATACTGACTTAGTTCAAATATAGACGAAACAATTACTGAATAATATTTAGTTTCTAATGATTTTTCATATGATATTATCATCTTAATGACAATTAGTTACAAACTGTAGAAAACTTTCAGAAAACCCATTATACTGAATTAACGAAACAACCTTGATCTATCGTACAAGTATTTTGTATTGAGAGGAAAGATTGTAATACGTTAATGAATTCAATGAGCCAATTATTATATTCATATTTTTCCATACATTTTATTTGTAATATCAGATAATTATTATTTAGCAAATAGATATTTTTGTATGATATTGATGAGAATAATATTTTACATATCTAATAGGTTTTTTTAGGAATTCATATTCCCGAACATGCCAGTATAGCATAATCATTATTGTAAATCTACTCACTTTTGCATATGGAGATATTAAATAGTTTACTGCTTTATAAAGCAGGACATAGATCGGATTGAAGCACGTTCCGTGCACGACTGCGTTGGCGCGCGCTGATTGGCTAATCCTTATCCAGTCAGCGCTAGTCGATCATCCGAAAACACTAGAATCCTTTCATGTAAAAAACTATAAATATACTAACGTATTTCTTATTGCGCTTCTTACTTCCATCTACCCTTTTTATTTGGAATATAATTTCTTCCCTGTTCAACCATGTTCTGATTCGGGGACTTTCGAGTGAATTGGTGTTTGAGATTACTAAGAAATAGGAATAGCTGGGTCGTAATAAGAGAAATTTATAACAAAAGCAATTTTATATAATCCTCTACTTGGTATAGAACATGATATCTAATTCTTTTTTCTCTGATCACAAAAGTTGAGTCATTTGAAAATAAGCGAATGATTTCATTTCACTATACTTTAGAGTATCTTTTTATATTTTATTACAGTTAATTATAGGATAGCCGCTAAGCGGCAATTGTTTTACATACCATCAGTTATCCTGATACAAAATAACAGTTACCCACAGAATATACCTTTTAAAAAAACCAAGATTCAATATTTAAGAAAATAAATAAATAAACAAACATTGACCGACATCATTAATCTGAATATGAATAAGTTATGCCTTGAGGTATAATGTGAGCCGATAAATCTATTTCTCAGATAAAACAGATTTGGATAGTGGTTACTAACGGAATCTAGGACTTGCGTTTCATTCTATCCGAGAACTGTCAACTAGATATGTCTAGATTTCAGAGTTGATATCCACTCCGGTATTTGAATTCAGGTTCTTTTAATTTCAAACAACAACGCGTTATCCACCTAGCTACCGAGTTCAGATGGCTACTTACTTGTGGAATAGGGTGAATTTTATTTCATCTACTTAAAATGCCTGTGCAGCCCTCACGGGATGCATATATGTCAAAAGACATCGATCAACAGCAGTCTTAAGTATTAATTAGAAGATTCAAACAACCAATATGTACTATTCAGATTATTTTCAAATTAAATTTTAAGAAATAGTTAAAAATAATTTGTCTACTTATCGTTGATATAATAAACTTGTTCTATCTATTATTCTTGTTAATGATATCCCATGGTACTTATATATTTCTGTGGAATTTTCAGAACAAAGTCGAATAAAGCCATTGAGATGGAGTAAGTATTACTTAAACCAGATTTTAGATGCTGAGGTATCTCAGCGTTTTTAAATATCTCACTTTTTGTAGGTGTTCTGTGTTCAAAATCGGACCGTTTAGTTCATAAAAGCTAGTTTACATGTATTTATAGGGTCAATAATTGAAACCCATTCTATATTATTATCAACTCGTCAAACAACATACTCCAGTAAATTGTCAATGACATGACACTTGTGTAATAACATAGTTTCAATAGCCATGTCTTTATAAGATTGGTATTTTTCAGTTTGTTCATAAATATATCAACTTGTCACAATTGATTGATCACTGGGTGGTGATCAATCTCATGCGTGTCAGGTCCTTAGTGCTGATCGAATGCTATCGATCAAGTTGCAATGTGGCCACCAGTCTAGGTGGCTCGACACTGCGGGCACCACCATGTTACCCTAATATATATAGTGCCCGCAGTGTCGAGCCACCTAGACTGGTGGCCACATTGCAACTTGATCGATAGCATTCGATCAGCACTAAGGACCTGACACGCATGAGATTGATCACCACCCAGTGATCAATCAATTGTGATTAGATCTCAGTCCTACAGGAGGTCGGTCGCGGCCCGAATAGCTCAGTGGTAACGTCTCTGACTGTGAGGCTGAGTGACGCGGGATCGAATCCGCCAGGGAGCATCAGTTCCCTCAAGATTACAGGTACACCTTGCTGACGAGTGCCAAGTAGCACGAACCCGGGTCCAGGGTTTCCTGTTGACCACCTCCAACCACCATGTTACCCTAATATATCAACTTGTCTCAGATCAATAATTTACGTGGTAAGTCAATTAGTTAATAATTATAAATGTATTGCTATTAAGTTACATGTCTATATCGAATGTCATTAAAAACCACTTACATATGACCTTTTTATTTTGAAAAAAATAGGAAAAGGCCTAATTCTGTCATGGTAACAAGATCTAATTGCTGTCTAATTGGTAAACTTTTTTTGTCTTGCTCTATTAATTTTTTTCCAGTGTTTATTAAATAATTACGTCATTTACCACGGATGAGTTTATACTCTGTATTTTGCTAAGTTAAAGTAAACATTAACCACGAAGTGTATCCTATTAATTTGATGTGTCTACATATTCAACCATTGAAAATAAAAGTTGCGTTAATTCAACCAAATTGATAAATGGAGCAGATATTTCATTGCTAGAGGGATATGTTGGATAGAAAATGAACAAAAATCAAAGAATTCCGATGAATTATAATCTAATATAAAATGGATATTTAGTTGGTTGACATTTGATAAGAGTTCATGATAGATTTACTTTTACAATTATTTGACACAAATATCTTCTAGAAGAATAACTTGAATGACAAACAGAAACAGTTATACAAATATGTAGGTTCGAATTCCTATAGCTTCTGCTATACATAGAAACGGGGATAGAACACCACTAAGGAAAGATGGAGGCATAAAAACATACCCCCGAAATGATTCGGTTTTATCTATCAAATGATTGCTGTTCATCAAGTGTGCCAGGATTCAACTACGTACAATTCTCGCCTAATAGTCATCTTCACAGAAGATGAATTTGCAGTTAGACATCGAAGAGATAAGTTATCCTCTTTTTGAGTTTGTATCGCTTTCCAACTAGAAAAAAACAAATAAGATCGACTGAGCACGCTGTTCCTTTAATCGATCTAACTAATTTATTACACAACACATTGTTTGGTACACTCATTTATTTGTAACCAGACGAAGACAACATGTAGTTCCATATTGTTGCGCTTGATCATATAGTGGATTTAACCAAATCAGTTCAAGTGATCTATGGAATACCTCCGTCGTCCCTCTAATAGGGTCTTGTGCTTTATTTACATAAGTAAGGAAAGTGAAACTATCGTACTTGGTAGCAAAACTTGTAATCAGATCAGACAAATTAAACTACGTTAGCATGATAGTGGTGACATCGCAGTGATGAATCAGCATACAATCTCGGATACACATGTTTGAGTTAGCACATCTAGGTTTGCGTGAAACTTGAAGCGCTGACGGTTGACAAAATACTAGTGCATTCGCAGAGAACTGACTTAGCATCTACTGAAATACTTAATTGCAGTGTTAAAGGTATCTAGACTGGGGTGTCGAAACATGTCATCTGTGTCCAAGTCATGACTTATTCGATCGAAAAATCTTGATGTCCCAATATTTGGCCGTCCGTGCTTTATCAGTAAGGTAGGTGACCTCAGTTCACATTTATTCTATGTTAAATGTTTAAGTAGTGATAGGGAGCGAACGAAGTTCATAATAAGCATTATTAACGTTGTTTAACTCAAAAAGAGTGAGTAATCAAATGACGTTGGATGCCTATATCCATTGTAGCCGCTTGGACTTGTTGCACAGATCATTTTTATGAGAAAGGTATTTGAATCAAGGCCAAGCAAACGAACATTAGAGAAAACGTAGTGTCAACTTGTTTATCTGCACAGAACAGGTTACCTGGCTGTGATTCCTAAGTTGACAAAAATTCATGATAAAAAACCTACAACGATGGTACAGTTAAATTAATTTCTTTCGTCATGTTTTACGGGTGTTTCAAGGAAACTAACTGTACAACACCCACTTTCAAATTTTTCTTATGCTCTCTTTTCTATAAAGTGTTTTCTAAAATTGAACTTAGTCACTTTTTTATCAAAAGCCTTAGTTACTTTGATTTATCCTCGCCTCTGTCTTCGAAAATAAGTTATTAAAAAAGTAGGAGTCCTCTAATCGACATTTCCCATCCAAATTAGCTAAGTTAGGGTAGTGGCGATTCCGACCACCATAAACATAACAGCTTACTTCGACAATCTTTATTTCAGCTCGCTAATACGCTTACAAAAGACGAATTTAGAAATTTCTAATTGGCCTTTTAGAAACATTGAAATTGATAAAGCAAATTAACTGTTTTTTTTAAAGGTCACAACATTACTGACGAACGAAACACTAAAGCAAAATGGATTTGACAAAACAAACAAATAATTAGTAAGGAAAACAACTGGGAAAGAAGAGAAAATCAAGAGAAAACCCTCCTAACATACACAGAAAGCAAATTGTGTACGATAGGAGAGGAAACAATGCAACAACATATGAGGATGAGCATTTAGTGAAAGAATGCGGAAGGACCACTTTAACGTGTTCCTTATTTTTAAATTAATTCAAGTAAACAACAAGAGAAAAAAACAAGTAATGAAAGTAACAAATACACAAAATAATTTAATTTATGTGAATATTTAAAAAAAAAAACACAACTAACTAATTGAATATTGTTATAGTGTTCTCACTTTGTACAGTAAACTTTCAATCTTCATATGTGATATACAGATATTTAATGAGTAAAAACTGTGTCCACTTCAAAAATTTGCGTGGAATACTGACTGATATAATACGCAAAAGAACATGAACATGGAAAGACCTTGAAGAGTGAACGAGTATATAACGGAAAAACTGAAATGCATTTTGTTTTCAAGGATGCATTCGGACACTAGAGCAATAATATATATATATATCGACTGGGACAAAAAACATCATTCGACGAAGAGAATATACAAAAAAGGCTCATTATGGAAGTATTGAAATATGGATTGAACTGTACGATGAGAAAAACATTAATCACAATTCTTTTTTGGAAGTCGCACATTTTTTATATGATGAATATGCTTATTAATAATGTAGTATACAAGAATTAACCAGAATGTCAGGAATAAGAATGAAAAGACAATCTTATGTTGTTTTCTCTGTTGAATCCCAACGATAATATTAGTATTGTACACTTTTGCGCGTGTGAAAGGAACAAACAATCTTACAAATAAAATTGATTAGCTAGCTGCACAAACATTACCATTGTAGAGCAATGGTAATATTAAGAAAAATTGTTGAGATAAGTGTACAAACGAAAGACAACACAATCATATCTAATTGAAAGAATAGTCGAGGACACCAGAATAAAGTTCAGCTATAATGTATTTGTATATGTATATTAAATATTAAAAGAGAAAATAGTCCCTGAGTTGAAGACAAAAAATTATTTTCAGGATGATTATAATGCTGATGTTAACAATAATAATTATAACAATAATGATGAATAGCGTTTGTGTAAGTAGAGATGGGACACTTCTGTTATCAAAGTATTGCTCACTTATCATTATGCAGAAACTTCAAATAAATTCTTAACACCGGGTTTAACATTATATATATATATATATCATTTCACGATAAAGAGGACTTTTTGTCAAAAAGAATGATTTTTCTTAGTATGCTGTTAAATGAAAATATTGATTTCTGAAGTATATTGAATGTTTATAGTTAAGTGAATGAATGTATGAATGCAGTAGTAAGAATAATAAAGATGCACTCAAAAATTAAGACATTAAATATGTATAATGTAGTGAAAGTAGTAGTGTATTGTTATACACATAACGGCTGTTGAATATGGATTGAGACATGTCAGGGAACCAAATGAACTTCTTCATGGTTCAAAAAGGAGTGGAAGTAGCCATTCATCTTCTTCAACGGGTCTGAAAATAGAATAATGAGAATAATATGTTAATATTGTTTTCTTTTTGGTAGAGAGATTGAAGGACAACAGAAAAGGTGAGGGTTGTACCTATGAATTGTATGATAGTTGAATGATAAGTGAATATCATCCAACAGTTTTATAAACTGAAACTATAAAGGACACCTATTAATTGTGAAATCTGGTGATACTAATTGGCTGGTCAAATCAATTTAGATGGAATCTTCAACTAAGGTAGTTGATAGTCAAATGATTGATTAGTAACTGTATATGGGCCAAGTTCTTTATTTTATTGCTCAGTAATTCAAAGTACAACATTGTCTACAGACTAGAATATGTTAGAATAATTTATCTTTCATAGATCTAATGTCTATTCAAAGTTTACTGAATAAAACGAAGGTAGAAAACTATGAAATGAAAAGTTTGGTAACTCATAGCGTTTTTATTGAGATAATGGACCGACCAATGTTAGACCACCATTGAAAACCTGGAAGCACTAGACAGCCATTTTGTTCTAGTATGGGACTCCTCATCAGTGCTCACCAAGGATTCCGTATGAGGGATTCGAAACCAGGGTTCTTGGGTCTCGCTCAAATGCTTAACCTCTGAACTACTGAGCCGGCGTTAGTCTCCAAATTTAACCAATCCCATACTAATAATTCATAATGTGCTGATAGAATGTAGCACAAAAGACTTATAAATGTGGATTTCTGAAAACTGTTTGTCAAATCAATAATAGGATATATCATTAACAGGGTCAAATATAAACAAAGTATATACCCATGTATTTTAGGACGAATGAATGTTTACTTTTTAGCTGTATTAAAATCCTTTAAAAAAATAGGGTAGATGACTGACATGTTAAAAGTAAGAGATTTGGTAACTCACTCATAGTCTTCAGAGATTGTATCCAATGGTGTAGGACTCGAATAACCAACACGAAACTGACGTCTAGTTACAAATAATCCAGCTCTTCTGCGACTAGACGGCGGAGGATCTCGATAATATAATTCATACAGTTGACCCACAAGATTTGCACATTCACAAACATCAAACCAATCGACCTAAAAGGTATTAAAAATTAACAAAATTACGAGCAGTTAACTAAGTGAATAGATCAATTGGACATAAAATGATTGTCCAGTCATTAGAAGCACAAAGATCAGAATAACAAGAGATTTTGACTATCACTCTCTGGTTCTCCGTATTGTATAATACTTTTTGAAGAAACTGCATTAATCGTGGTTTTAGAGACCTACGAACATGACTGCAGAGCCGAAGAGACAACTAACTGCTTGAATTCGATCACACACGGCCTTTTTGAGAGACTTTCTTCATGTGTTAGATCCGCGTTTTGAAGGTCTTACCGTCAGTAATGGAAATCCTTGGGGTAAGGTGAGGTATGGTATTTTTAGGGCTGATTATTCTTAATCTGCTTCTTCTGTTGTGGCATAATCACAGATGTTGACTGCCTGAGGGGAACATCTTGCTGCCAACACGCCTTAGAACAGTCAGCAACACGACTTCATTTTCGGACCCTGCTCTGTTGTTTTTAGTATTACATGAACACATGAACATTTAAATATTATATAAGGTAGGTCTAAAGCCAGTATAAAAATATAGTTTAGTGAAGTTAACGAAATACTTCAGTATATCTTAACTTCTTTTTATGAGATCATCAAATGGAAGAATGTAGTGAATGGAATCGTACACAAAGGTGGTGCGTGGTTAAATAATTTGAACAGTTAGTGAGTAATTTAAGCATGAATATGAATTCAAACAAAAACTACCATCAATAACTCTGAATACTTTAAAAATAGCACTTCGTATATAAAAATATAAACATGTGATAGAGATCATGCACACTTAGATAGGAAATGAAGCTAAATGAGAAGTAAAATAACTTCACTTAAAAAAATTAAAAACAAGGTATATTTGACTGTTTCGTTTAAGATAATAATTTATTTCCTAGTCAAAAACAATTTGATAATAATTAGCATACATATCCAAGTTGCCAAACTTGACATGACGAAAAGTTAAGGAGTCGAAATATTGTCTTTTTATTTATTTAAAAACAAATATTGGTACAAAGGGGTACCAGATACACATGCGCCACACAAATCTTATTTGATTTTTTTCGAAATATTGACCTCAGTGGCAGTGTATAAACAACACACAGGTAATAATACCAAAAAGAATGAATAAAATTCAGAGAGTGTGGAAAGTAAGAGATAATAATAATGATAATAGAAACCTAGGATTTTGCAAGACATATATATGTGACTAGTAATGCAACCGATTTCGGGTAATATTATTTGAATTCTTCAAATACAATTTGTGACTAAATCATGGTCTCCACACAACAAAGCCAGTGTGAGTCTTCCAATAAGAAGACCAACGCGAAAGTAAAATCAAATTAGCTCATTCACCAGGTACTTGGATATGAGATATATTCTGAGTGTGAAGTCCAGTTATTCAAACCGAAGTAGGTGAGACGGGGTTCGAACCTGGGACTTAGTGGCCGAAGGTTATCTAAGACCAAATAAGAATAGCATGATAGACTGATCGAATGTCTTGATTTAGTCGGCTTTAAATCTTTTCATTATTATATTTCTATGCTAACACCTATCTAATTATTGCCAAGATTTTTTTATTAATCTTGAAATAAATTATACAATCAGAAATCAAAACATCTTCAATCGACGCCTATTTATATTCTACGTTAAGCATACGGACAGACCATTACAAACATTTTTGGGCAGTGATGGATTATGTTATATATATATTAGCTAGCAAAACTCGGCTAAAATAAAAACAACTAAAGCTCAAAGTATCAGTACTGACATTAGGGTTAAGAAACTGAGACAACCCTTCAAAGACTTCCCATAATTTTTACACACAAAATACTTCATAAACAATAATGATATTGGAACCAATGTAAACAATTTAATGTCACTTAATACACAGCAATTTATATATTAGAATAATTGTTTCTAAAAAATAATCAAAGTGGGAAAATATCACTGACCCCACATAGATCTGCCAACGGTAGAAGACCTTCAATACCGACTTGAGCTAAAATTCCAAGTGCTAAACAAACAGGACGGAAACGATAAACTTCCAACGAACACAATGCAATCTCCATGAGTGTTCCCAAACGTTTATAAACAAGAGTTTTCCAATTGAAATCCTTCTGACGAGCTGTTACAAGATTCTTTCTCACCTCATCTGATTTCTTTACACTTGAGATTATATTATTTGTCTCTGTCATTTTTTCTACATCTGATTCAAGTAAATAACTGTCTATATTCAGACCAACATTAATCAATTCGTCCTCCATGATATCTTTAGATTCGGTCACACAGTCGATGAAAAGTTGCAAGAAATCGAATGCATTTACTCCATCAAGATCATGAGATAATTTGGAATCGAGGATTTCCTCCATACGCAACAAATCAGCAGCGTTACCACCACAACGAGTGATATGTACTATTGTTTCTGGATCAGGCAAAATAACATTCTGGAAAAAATTTTCGGAACGAAAACACAAATGACTAGATTATTTCTACATGCAGGTGAAAATGATAGCCGTTAAAAATTTTAAATGAATAGTAATATCGCATAGGCATTCCGAAATTTAAGCTGATATATATATATATATATATATATAATATTAGATTCTTTATACAGAATCGCAATTAAAAGAACTAAAATTTATTATTTTTATCAAACCCATGCTAATTTAAACAAATGAATCAACTGTATTACCGTCATAAATATAAAGCCATCTCTTCTAATAAATATAGAAACTGGGTAGATTTTCAATTGTTTAGTTATTCATGTGGTCTATTGATGAACTGACTAAGTTTAATAAACAAAACTACAATTTATTTATTTACATTAGGTATGGTAAAGATAGTGAGCTAATAGAATAAACAACTCAATGAAAAATTGAGTTGTAATTAACAAAAAAAACTGGAATATACACAAAAAGTAAGTGGAATATTAGTTGGTAGACATATTAAACTGACCAGTTTATTGGTAATTAATAGATCAACCTGCAGAACACATATATGATGATATATTTTTAATAATTTATGTCACTTAATTGAAGTAATAATAAGTTCAAAAAGAAACGTGAACCTAAAATAGCAATTAAACTTCAATAAAATGGCGTGATCTTTCTAAAATAGTTTAAGAAATGAGCTTATTTTCAATGTTGAAGAGAAATTGCTTCATAAGATTGATGAGAAAACTTTATGATGATATACATAAAATTTATCAGTAAAGAAGTATAAGTCAAAATTAAACAAAAAACACGCATGATAATGAAAACACTGACCACATTTCCAGCTTAACAGACGATCAAACACATTATTTTCATATAAGTATAAATACGGATGTACAGATTAAGTAAATGATTTCGTTAGAAGAAAATTTCCTTCGCTGAATTCTATTCTTATTCAATGACACAATGGGTTATTTAATTATCCAAACACAAATTATCAATGTCATTCAGATTAAATCACTTAAAGCGAATTTAAACCAACTTGTGAAACGACAGTGATTTGAAGACATTATTCTCTGATGTTATTTCATGATAAGTTGTAAGGTAGTCTTTAAAATGTACCAAATTCGTACATATGCCCTAATGACTGAATAAAAATAAAATGCATCAACTAATTTAATAAAATGAAGTTCCTGTGCTCATAAAAGTTTTTTATTCGGATGCATGAATTTAGGTAGGCAGAGTTCAGTTCAAATTTACGAACTGATTGCTGGATATCAAATGCTTTAAACATGAAAAACCAGAAGAAAATTACGCTGGTAATAGTGTTGACATACCTTGTTGTTTGAGCTACTCAATTTACATACAGCACAGTAAGAAGCAGCAGCTACGCATGCCATGTACTTGGGTTTGACCTGGAGAAAAATAATTATATATTAGAGGATGGTCGATTTGGTTAAGGAAACTATATATATACATATACAACAGTGAACCCAAATAAAGACAGTGTTAGTTACTGAGGTCCAAATTTTAATAATGAAAGTAGAGCAACTGTTCACTATTACCATTAGGCAGTTATCCAAGTTGCTATACCTCATTAGCACAACAAGATGAACACCAAATTCATAGTAGTTAATTTAGTGATGGTAATATATAAAAGGAAGATTTTATATAAGGATATAGTATAGGAAGAAAGATATGAAGCAGTTTGAATCTCAAGGATTAAATGAAGACAGAAAGTGTATACAGTTACGCCATTGTGATCGATTCAGAGCCATTTCATCTAGAGTCTCCAACCATTGGTTACGATAGTCATGTGGACCCCAACCAAGTAGTCTGTATCTGCCAACATGGCTCAGACTAGAAGTTAGTGACTTCAAGCACTGATGCCACGTTTTGGTTTGGCCGCCCCTAATTCTTCTCCAATCATCCCCTACACTAGTCAGCATAGCGTGTTGTGGTAATCGGTGTTCAGGCATACGTAATACGTGGCCTAACCATCTCAGTCGATGAAGATTCATGACCTTATCAACTGATTTACCATCATTCCTTAATACTCTATTTCTAACCTCACTATTACTTACCTGGTGATCTCGGCAGATGCGAGTAATATTTCTAAGGCATCTGTGGTCAAATACTAGTAACTTACGAGTATCTTCTACTCCTAATGGCCATGTTTCACAGACGTAAAGTAGAACCGAGAGAACTACTGCGCAGTATACTCATCCCTTAATTGATAGACGTATATCTCGTCTTCGCCATAGGTGACGTACGTTGTCAAAAGCAAAACGAGCTTTTTGAATCCGTGCTGAGATTTCGTCAGACACCAACCCATTAGGGCTGATCAGACTTCCAAGATAAGTGAAGTTGTCGACGCGTCCGACTACTTCGTTCCCTATCCTTAGTTCAGGTGTTGACGTAGGCTAGTCCTAGAGTAACAATTTACATTTAGAGGGGGAGGAACACAATTCAAATATCCTGCCATTGTTACTCAGTGCTAACAGAAGACTGAATTTTGTCAGCGTCTTCACCAAACAGGACTATGTCATCTGCGTATTCTAAGTCGATAAGTGAGCCTCCTGGTAAGAGATCAATTCCTGAAAATTCAGCCGACGAGAGTGTCATTTCCAGCAAGGTCTTTAATGAAGTTAAACAAAAATGAGGATAGTGGACAGCCTTGTTGGACACTAGATACGCTGAATATCATTCCTGTTTAGGAAATTATATATCATCAATACAGTTGAGGTTTAGGAGGATCTGTTGTACACTTAACTGCTAAGATTGGTTGTTCTGAGCCTGATACAAACATCAAGAATCAATAAATAAATCTATACCTCCATTAAGAGTTTCCGTTTTAGTCACTACACGAAATTAATAACTACAGTTAACAATGCAAAAATAAATCGATCAGATTGAAATGGGGGATATATTAATCATGAATCAGAAACAAAGATTAATAAATATTAAGCTCAACGCGCAAAAAAATTCTTCACGTACTACTAGTCATAAATTTTCGTAGATTACAGAGCACAGAGGAAAACAAAATATAGTAACATAGTTTGTTAAGGATAAAGGACAACACCCTATAGATGAAAGAAACTTTCTTATACTAATGTAATATTACTTGATATTCAAGTGAGAGCGAGTATAAGTGTAGTTTCATAGCACTGCAGTTATAGTTAATTCGTAACATTTCGAAGTAAACAAATTCAAAGGTAAAACTAATAGAACAAATTTACACTCACCTTGACTTTAACAATAAAACGATCAATGAGATTGACAGCTTTACAAAATGTCTCTGTAGAGAGATTGAAAAATGAATTGTGCAAAAAGCGCAGATTGTGTACCGCTTCATTTCGAAGTGCGGCGTCGACTTTATCATCGACTTCCTATTGGTAAAATTAAAAACATATTAACAAGACAGCAGTTTAAGACATTGAAAATAACAAAGTTTCCTAAGAAACGGGAAGACTAAAGCAACTTTCACAGGTAGTGATGTAATTAAATCCATTTGGTTAAGCTTTGTCCCCAAAATGAAAAGTATGTTACGTTTCCATAGATCTTCATCGGTGTTATGAATTCATATCTGGAGTAATGATTGTCTTTGTGCTATAATTATGGATACAGATTCCCTTGATTGGTGCCCCCAAATGCCCTGGTACGGCCGAGAGTGGGGAGAGTCTACTCTCCCTCTCGAAATGCTCTCATATGGCCACGCTAATATATAGCCTCTGCCAGGGAAGTCCTACTCACTGCCTTCTCATGGCGGGGGTGTTGTTTACGAAAGTGAGAGGACGAAAAGCGAATGTCCGGCGCTATAACCGGATTGGTGGACACGGAGGGTCCACCTAGGGGAGTTGGAAAACCCTGATTCCAAACCAATGGTGCACATGGGCTCCAGTTTCCTGATGGAACGAATGGCGGAAGAACCTGTCATTGGTCAACGACTACCATGGGACTGCATCTCCTCACGATGCTCCACTGCCTTGTGGATCAGACCTTTAGGTCAAAGGCTCCGGGTGTGGCCCCCTAAGAAAACCACCTGCTTCGGTTTGGGCACCCGGGCAGTATCACAGCCCACACACAAATGAATGAAATGACGAACTCTATTGACGATTCTATTCCTGCTCATATTATAAGCAAGACAATTTACGTTATTATTATTACTATTATTATTATTACTTACCATATCGCTAATTCACCCCCTTTTACCCCCAATTTGTGTAACCTTACTCTTCAACTTATGCATCAGTTCGCTCTTGGTCGAAAATCTGTCCTATCTAAACGATCTCCAGTCACTGTCTGGTTGAAAGTGAATGCTTCCACCGATAATGAATACTGAGGCAGTCTTTCTGAAACCGCGTACGCCGTTCAAGCTGGCTTCCTTCAACGTTCGCACACTAATGCAGATCAGACAACAGATAGGGCTGGCTATGTCTTTGGAAGGTCTTAATGTTGATGTTTGCTGTCTATCCGAGACCCGTATTCAAGACTCTAGTGAAGTACTACAAATCCGCTCTCCATCTGTCGCCTCGAAGAGCTTGTTCCACGTGCGCTTATCCGGGGACCCTGTGGCATCTTCGTCTGGTCTTGCTGGCGTTGGTGTCGCACTAAGCGCTAGGGCTGAGGCAGCGCTAATTGATTGGTTCCACATTAACAGTCGGTTATGTGCTGTTAGATTAGAAAGTTCCATCAAATTGAGAAGAAACCGGCGTGAGAAACGGTGTCTTTTCGTCATCTCCGCCTATGCCCCGACAGATTGCAGCCCGGATGCAATCAAGGATGAGTTTTACCATCAGTTAACAGTTCTTCTCCAGAAAGCGCGTTCGACAGATATTGTAGTACTAGCCGGAGACTTGAATGCACAGGTCGGGCGTCTAGGCACAGAAGAGAGTCGTCTTAGTGGCCGATGGGGACTTGTTGGTCGCAGGGCAGATAACGGGGACCGTTTGCTGCAACTGTGCACAGACCACAACCTGTTTCTGGCCAGCACTAACTTCCGGCACAGTCATCGCCGGTGTGCCACCTGGCGTCCTCCCTCTGCATCCCAAGCCTGGACTCAGATTGATCACATCGCGATCAGCTACCGCTGGCGTGGTTGTGTACAAGACTGCCGCTCCTTTTGGAGTACCTATCTGGAGTCTGATCATGCCCTGGTCTGCGCCAATCTCACCTTACTTTTCAGTGGCCGAAGGATTGACCACCACCAACGGATTGATATTAGTAAACTGGCTGCAACTCCTGTTGCAAGTAAGTACCGAGCGGAGCTAGCCTCTAGGCTAGCTAACACCACACCGAAAAGTATAGATGAGCATTGGTTGCATCTTCACGACGCCATGAAAATGGCGAGTAAAGCCGCTTGCGGCTTCGCGAAACGTCCCGCTTACAAGCACTGGGTTTCTTCTGGCTCCTTACAACTGATCGAAGCCCGTCGGTCTACTCCGGGTGACCGTGAGTTTGACCACAAACGAAGGCTGTTACGTAATGAAATTGGGCAAAGCTTGCGTAAAGACCTGGAAGCCTGGTGGTCGGAGCGTGCTAATGAGATGGAAGCAGCAGCTGCATCTGGTAACTGCCGGAAGCTCTTCCAACTCATCCGAGCCACTGGCAGCAAGAAGTCTGGTGTGAGTGAAACAATCTACGAGGATGATGGGATGCCAATCACTAACATCTCTCGACGTCTTGGACGATGGGCGGAATTTTTCGAAGGGCAGTTCAACTGGCCTGCTGCTCTGGCAACATCAACCAGCTTGTCCTGCCCCCCATGGCCGGTGACGACTGATCCACCAAACGAGGCGGAAGTCCGCAAAGAACTCCAACTCTTGAAGCGCTACAAATCACCGGGCCCAGATGACTTACCTCCGGCTCTTTTTAAAGATGGTGGCGACTTTCTGACTAAGGAATTGACTGTGTTGTTTGGAAAGGTTTGGGAGCAAGAAAGTGTTCCAACATCATGGAATGAGTCAATAGTCGTCCCTATCTTTAAAAAGGGTTCACGTTGTTCCTGCAATAACTATCGGGGGATAAGTCTACTTCCGATTGCGTCCAAACTATTGGCTTCTATCATTCTTCGTAGGTTGTTTAAAACCCGAGAACGATTGACTCGCGAGGAGCAGGCTGGTTTTCGTTCTGGTCGAGGATGCATTGATCACATCTTCACCCTCCGCCAAATGTTAGAACACCGTCATACTTATCGCAGGCCAACAATCGTAGTGTTTCTTGATATCAGGGCTGCCTTCGATTCGTTGGACAGGACTGTTCTCTGGGATTGTCTATTGAAGAAGGGTGTGCCTGAGAAGTTCATTAACATCTTAAAGGCCCTGTACACGAACACCTCAGGCAGAGTGAGGGCATACAACCACCTTTCTCCCTTGTTCCATTCGAGCAGTGGGGTTAGGCAGGGTTGCCCGATCTCACCATTCCTCTTCAACTTTGCCATCGACGACATCTTGGAAACAGCTCTGATGGATGTAAGTAACGGCGGTGTGGATATGTTGCCTGGAGAACGACTTCTCGACCTTGAGTATGCGGATGATATTGTCTTACTGTGCGATAATGCCCAAGGCATGCAATCAGCACTTAATCGGTTGGCAATCAGTGTCCGCAGGTACGGCATGTGCTTTGCACCCTCCAAGTGCAAAGTACTTCTACAAGACTGGCAGGATTCTAATCCTGTACTCACCCTGGATGGTGAGCAGATCGAAGTAGTTGAGAAGTTCGTGTATCTAGGTAGCTATATAAGTGCTGGTGGTGGCGTGAGTGATGAGATTGATGCACGTATAAGGAAAGCCAGAGCGGCTTATGCCAATCTGGGCCATCTTTGGCGCCTTCGTGATGTTAGTCTGGCTGTAAAAAGTCGGATTTACAACGCGTCGGTGAGAGCAGTTTTGCTCTATGCTTGTGAAACCTGGCCTCTCCGAGTTGAGGATGTTAGACGTCTCTCTGTGTTCGATCATCGTTGTCTCCGAAGGATTGCTGACATCCAGTGGCAACACCATGTTAGTAATGCAGAGGTTCGGCATCGTGTGTTCGGGCGCAGAGACGATAATTCAATTGGTGTCACCATCTTGAAACACCGACTTCGGTGGCTTGGACATGTTTTACGAATGTCGTCCCAGAGACTTCCACGTCGTACATTATTTGCCGACCCTGGGACTGGTTGGAAAAAGCGGAGAGGAGGTCAGTGTATGACATGGTGTCGTGGCATGAAAGAAAGCTGCAAAGGGCTAGCTTCTGTTAGTCCTTCACGACTCCTTGGTTGGGGTCCGAGAGATGGTGCAACACAGTGGCTAGAGACGTTATCAGATATGGCTCAGAATAGAAACCAGTGGCGATCCTGCTGCAACCTTCTTTTACTTTCTACATAAAGTATGGTTCTTACTTTCCTATTTGAAAGAGTCTTCTGGTTGTACATTTTAGTCCGCCTTATCTTTTCATCCCTTCTCTTCCTACTTTCATTATTTTGTGTGGCGCATATGTACCTGGTGCCCTTTTGTACCAATATATATGTGTTTAAATAAATAAATAAATAAATAAATAAATAAATTTCATATATATACCTACAAATATTACTTTATAATAAGACAGATCCTGACTAATATCTATTTGAAAACAATATTCTTCGTTTATACCTGATGTTCTAAACGAGATAACACTAACTTACAGTCATGCTAAGAAAGATACAATGCTAGTGATTATTTATGCTTGGAAATGTATATAATACAAACACATGCAAATAACTTCAGTAGCACTCACTGGATTAACATAATATAGGAAAGCATTGTTTGGTTGATAAATAAATTCCTTCGAGAGTAGATTTTGCAGGCGATCGTTATCGAGTAAAGAGAGCTAAAAAAAAGAAAAAGGTGTTTCAGATAACAAAAAGACTACTTATAGGCTAGAATATTTACGTTAGTACCAATAGTATAAAAGTTATTGATAATGGATGCGACAGAACTGTGAATCCATGTTATCTAAGTATGTCAACGATAAAAGTGGTGCATATTGATGCAACGTGGAGGAAGCCTCAGAAGACCCTTAAAGATTATATAATCATTAGCTAAACTTTTCTGACAGCAGAATGTCAATAAATGGATAGTATTGATATGATCAGACCAGTTTGGACTAATCATCCAATACTAGAGAAAACAATAATGAGTGCAGAACTCAGTAGCCACACGACGTCAGTAACAAGAATAGATAGGGAGATAACTCATAATAAACATCGACTTCGTACTTTCAAGATTCGAACTCGATAAAAACGTATTAATACAGACAAAATAGTTACCCTGAACAGAATTTTAACGGCTTGGTATGAGAGACAAACTTACAGATCTAGATGATTTAATCTTGTTTATTAAACTTTGAGTGTCCTCTCATATTATTAACAGATGTAAGAAGCAAAGACCTTAAAAACAAAATACTAGTCCATGTAGAGTAAGATAATATACGGACATCTATTTAAGTGCGACAAAGTAGGCTAGATGTAAACGTTCAAATATGTTATGACAGGGAAGTCCAGGGTGGGTATTTATTGTCCTAACCTATATTTATTGGACCTGTCCTAGCACTACTTCAGATTGAAAACATATATATCGGACACAGTAATCTAAAAATAAACTCAACTAAGACTATATGAAGACCCTACAAGACGTAATACCTTGTTCCTGTGAAGTATGAACAGTAAATTTTAGAAGAAACCGTCGCCACAGTTAAGTGGAGAAAATGAGTAATCACATAGACCTTAAGTAAGATAACTGTGCTTACTTTGCAGACTATATGTGAGTGACATATTTTGGACAAATCAGAGCGAAGACCATTTTTCTGTTGTAAAGGACATAAATAACATGCCGCTGGAGTAGATATTGACATATCTTCTAAATTTTCGTTTGACTGACCGTTTAGCTCCGGACGCGAACGTTTATAATCAGAAGTAATATGCAAAGGATATTGGTTCATGAAAATCTTATGGGCAGTTTGCTTGGAATCAGCCGCATCGCATAGAATATCGATAATATTGGACTTTTGAGAATCGTTTCCGCTGGACACAGGATTCGATTCATATTTCTGAGCTCGACGTATACGGCTAGGATATCGCCTGTATTGCGAGATGGTACGTTTAGGTGCCCTGAGGAAGTTAAATCTGGATTTGGCAGTATAAAAAGATGCAACACAGCCGTTATTATTGGAATGCGTTGTTTGAGAAGAAAATGACTGTTGGTGTTGATTTAAGACCTTGGCCATAATTTTCTAATCAGGAGTTGTATTCAGAGTCTGATCACTTGGTATATATGAGAAAATATATCAGCTGTAGCAACCGAAAATAATTCGAAACAAAATAAGTTAATTTTGAGGTTTGCAAAATAAAGCTGCTGTACAAACAAAGAAGTATCACCACGAATAAATGAGAAGCGATCTGAGAGTTCGCAGATCGCAAAGTAGGGGACCTACGGTGACCAAATTATGCCACAATGGATTACGCTCGCAAAGACGAACGTCCTTTTTCACCAACGAATAAGTAGTAGTCTCAACCAATAAAAACAAAGGTCATTAGTAGAGACAATTTGACCAAACAGCTATTCGATTACAGAAATCGATGCTGGTTTAACCAATCACAAAGTAATAAATGTCTTTGACCTTGGATCACATTGATAAACCAACAGACACGTTTAACCATTGCCCTAGATAAAGAGTAGTGAGGTGTGTGTTTATTGGTTAAGTGGGTTAGATCGACCTTTGTTTTTCTTTCTAGGCTTCTTAATTTTAGTCACCATAACAAGAACGGTTCATACAGTTATCTCTCCCGCGATTATATATCCAAATTAGTAATCTGAAAAATGGCTGGGTTAAGGGCAAAGTGCATCGTTTATGGTTAGGGCATGAGAATTTAGGATTGTCAAACAAAATGGAATCAGTGCTTCCAGGTTTTCAATAGTGGTCTAACAATCATTGATTCATGATCTCAATCAAATACTTAACAATCTCCACAACCCCACACTGAATATAGAATAGAATTATTAATGTTGATATGACTCATATAGAATGTTAACTTGAATCCGCTCATATATTAAGTGAAAATTTAAGATCCATGATCTGAATAAATATGGGTCAGTTAGGGTGGAAGGAATAATGGTGAAATTACAATTCGATCAAATGTTTAGTGGAAGACTATATTGTGTAAAAAATTAGTATTACATAATAAGGTTGGATGAATGCGAAGTAAATGCATAATGTATTGGGGAGATTATTAATGATGTTTAATCAATAATAATAATAATAATATAAAGATTTGTGAATAAAGATAACAGAGACGATTACTCCTCAGCAGTTTTTAGGAGTCCCATACTAGGACGAAACGGCTGTCCAGTGCTTCCAGGTTTTCAACGGTGGTCTAGCTTTGCACTATGGCCAGTTTGCACTAAATGGGCTAATATCTAGCTGTTTGCTTTCTTCACCAGACCATTGCTTAGCCACGCTAGGGGGTGTTCGCGAACACAAGAATGTGGATTCCTAGAACTTCGACCAATATAACTTGCTCCACAGGAGCAATAGAACTAATAAAATTCACTTAACATATAAGCTGATTTAAGTTAACATGTTATATAAGTCATATCATTCTATTTCGTTTGACGATCCTAAATTCACATGCTTTAACTTTACACAATGCATTTCGCATTTAATCTGGACGTTTTTCGGACTATTAATTTAGATATATAACTGTAGAACCTGAAAAGAATATTTTTCGTTCAAACATTAGTCTTTTAATATGAGGATCTTTAAACAATTGTCTGTCCATTTACTGAGTTCGTGATTATGACAAACAGAAATAAATTCGTAACCCTTTGTGTAATATATATTTCGTTATCTGTGTCGAGAGCTGTGGAATATTGTGAAACATTATTAGACAGAGATAGTCGTGATGATGCAACGGATATTCTAGTTTTACAACTAGATACCAGTAGCACCTTCTAAATTCGGTTGTTTCCAGTCAGATAGAAAATCAGAAGTCAAACGAGAAGAGGCAGGAAAGATATATTTGATTCGTTACCAATATATCGAGGACCTTTTCTATGAGCTGGCTAATGAAACGTAGGAGCTGTGTCCCACGCAGTATTGAAACGTGATCTGGTGCGGATGCATGACCGAAAGCCTTCAGCTAAACAAGTCCACTTAAACAACGTGGTCAGCATCCAATGTCGAACACTTAATGAGCTATTGATTTTGGGGAATTATTTACAGCTACAGTCGCCTTAAATATGAATGTAATGATACTTACTCGCATGGCGTTTTTACGAACCAGATTGTGCTTTGATGTTTAATGGTAAAAGGCTTATTTATCCTAAATCTTCAAATGATGTAAGAAAACTTGAAAACAAATCAGCGAAAGCATTACACTCAATAGAATCGGGTCATATAACTGATTTCAATGACACAAGAATCCTTCAAAAAGGTTTTAACTCTTACAAAGAAAGACTAACAGTTGAAACCTTACACACATGGTCAAATCCAAATAGTAATAATAGGAGAGATGGAATACAGTTAGCTTTCCCATGGCAACTAATAATTGATAAGTAAACCTGAGCTCTTTATTACATTGTATTTATCTCTTATTATCTGAATAACAGCAATTACATTCAACGGTTCTAATCAGTTGTCTTATCTGAGTATGTCAAACAATTAACTGGAACAATAAAGATAACACGAGCATTCATCTACAAATACATTCTTTCTCTTTGAATGCATTCCTTTATTTTGTTTATCTACCTTCATTTTATGCATTCTGTGATACATTTTATTCATATTATATATAAAAATTGTGTTTTCTTAAAAATTATCACGATGGGGTTGTGGAGATTGCTAAGTTTTTCATTGAGATCAAGAATCGATTGATGTTAGACCACCACTGAAAATCTGGAAGCAATGGACGTAGTATGGGTTCCCTCAGAAGTGCTCATCCATGATTCCGCACACGGGATTCGGACTCAGGACCTTCGGTCTCGCGCGCGAACGTTTAACCTCAATGGTAGTCTAACATCAATCGTCTCATGATCTCAATCAAAAATTCTTAAAAATTCGCCGATCTGACAATATGCAGTAAATGAAATGTCTTCTCACACTACTTACGTATACGCAAAATCTTTTATCGTAACACTTTTCGTTTCACACCACATGTCTCTTACACACTAGAGCAAACACTTACTTTTAACATTGTTAACATTGATTGGATGACTTATTTAGTATACAGTTAACCAGAGAACCATATATCTATTTATATTCGGTAATTTTGATGTTTGGTTATGTTTTCTTGAAAAGGCTTGAACCACATTGTCAGGTGAAACGTTGAATTTATTCCAAATTTATTCGCTGAGATTTTACAACTACATTCATCCTCTTTAAATATAATCATCATTTTCACATCTCATGAAAATGTTGGTTTATTGATGATCACTGTCCCGTGTTGAACAACTCTCGTGTTTACAACCGGTTATTGTGTTTTTTGACAATTGTGAATGAACATTCGAACATGAGTAGGGTATCTGAAATATATGTGATTAGACGTTTGTTTCGTTCATTGTTCTTACGTAACATTAACTCTGATCTGCATATAATTCACTCATTCATTTCTATTCTATATCATGTTTATACATGCTGAAATGCACACTTCAAATAAACCGTCATTTTCAATAGGGGAAACATAACCCACCAATATACTTACTCTTGCTGAATAAAATTTAAATTCATCAGCTTAGTGCTACATATCTACAAATAACTTCACCTATGATTGATCCAACATTTGTTTTAAATAAAATCGATCCTAAATTGATAAACAATAATTACCTTCTCTTACACAAGACTCATCTGATAATATCTTGATAAATATCTAGGTAAATTATCTGACACATACTTTGTCGAACTCTTGACAAAGCAAGTAATTATATAATGAATGTAATTCTTTAAATGAATCATTTAGAAGTGGTAAGTTAAAATGTATTTTTCATAAATATGTAGCTATTGTTTAGTTGATTGTCTCTCTGTTCAGTGTCTTCAAATAACTTAACAGGGTGTAGAATTTCTGTGTTGTTGAGTTCTTTAAGCTAGATGGCTGGATCGTGAAACTTTCGTTATCGTCCTGGATGACGTAGTTAGCGCTTTCTTTGTGTAGAAGGGAGTTTTTTAGTTATTCCATGAGCCTTAAATCAGTTTTCCTTGATTCATTGATTGTGATTAATTATCCTCGTAAGTTTTATTATCTTCAGCTGTCTTTGTTTTCCAGCCAACTGTTTTGCTCCATTGACTTTGGTCAGGTTATTACTTGACCCTTTCCGAATTGACTGCTAGATGGGGTCTAAAACGTGGGATAACAAGAAAAATGCACTTCTACAAGAAGCAAGTGCTGGTGTTGTCCAGAACGTCAACGAAAGCTTCGCAATGAAACTATGTAGCCTAGAAAACTTAACAACACCAAAAGCATCCACCTAAGGTGAAAATGTTCTCAACTATTTCGAGACGAATAAATGATATGCAACACATGATTTATTATGATAGCAAGATACTTACTTATGTGGCAGATGTATAAATAAAAAGTTATGTGAATATTTACAGAATTAAAAATTCTTTCTGCAACAACAATCAATCAGTAGTAGTAGTAGTAGTAGTAGTAGTAGTAGTAGTAGTAGTAGTAGTAATAGTAGCAGAAATAGTAGTAGTAGTGGTAGTAGAAGTTGTTGTTGATTTTGGTGGAGTGTTTTTAATGGCTAGTCATATATAATATGAATCGTGAGGATATAGTGAATTTATTAAATGATTCGTCGATCTATGATATAATTTTCAATCTCTTGGTTCAAGAGTTAATAAATCAGCAGCATTATGACTGATTCTCACTAAGTCACCCAGTCTCCAACCCCTAGTTACAATATTCACGCGGAGTCCAACCAGGTAGTCTGTACCTCTTAACAGAAATCTATTCAACAGTCAATAGCTTTACGCGCTGATATCGCATGCTAGTTTGTTCGACCCTAGCTTTCATTAAAACCACCCCTATATCAGTCAGGTATGAGGTAGTTAGGAATACGTAACACATGTCTCAACGACGTCAGTTGATGAGGAATTACTGCGTTTGCCAATAGATTTGTTTTCAATACTCTGTGTCTTACCTCAGTATTACTGAATCAGTGGTCCTGATATGAACGAGGAATGCTTCAAAATCATCTATGATCAAAAACTAGAAACCTATCTATTTTTATAGACCGAATTTTTTCATTGTTATCAATGCATATTCCATCAAGTAGACAAGTTTTCATGAATTTTATTCAAATAACATAAAGTTATATATCATTTTATCACTTGGATACAGCTCAATAAAAAGATGTTACGGTTAGTAAAGTATGTTTACAATTAACTTTTATGATTTTAAACAAATTGAGTTACTGAACAATCAATTGTATCTTTACAATGGTTTGATTATATCTCAATTGATTACTTGACAAATAGTTTGAAAATGTGAACCTACAATTCAGAAGTTAGTGATACGTTCCACCTGATTATACAACTTAAACAATTCTGAATAAATTAAACCATCAAAAAGGTAAAATGAATTCAAAATTGTTTATTTGATGAATCTCATTTTGTTTTTTTGTGAGAATATACATGAAATGCACATCCTTATCCTTTACACTTTTACAATAATACAGTATACACACAAACGCAGAAATTCTTAGATAACTAAATTTTGTATATGTTTTTTTGATAACCGTAAATATAGAAATAACAACTAACTTTGTACTTCTGAAAATCAATATTTGAATTGATAGAATACTATTAATATTCAAAATGATATCACAACTATATTGATTTATACGCATAGTTTGTTGTCATTCAACGTGAGTACGTTGTATGGAAATAATAATAATGTTAAATATGTTAGGACTAATCATTGATCTTGAAAAGATCACATTCTTTCGGCATCGAAGTAATTTTATAATGTTTTACAAACGGGTTTAAGTAGCAAGTCATAATATCACTAACAGTTTGTTTAAGTTTCCATTTTAAACTATCAAGAAAGTGTTTTCATTAAAATTGAATAGTGGAATCCAAAACTCATGTCTCAGCTCATTTCAAACACTCCATGTGGATTTGCATTTGCATTACATTGTGATACAATCACTTACAGATTAACAGGAAGACATTTTAGTTTTTTTCCTGAACAAGATGAGTCGTTTATTAGAACAAGTTTTGTCACTCCTTTCCAGTTCATTTTTCCTCATTGGTATTAATTAATTAATTAATTTAAATGTCCCCCCTCCAAAAAAACAGTGAATGTCAAATAGATCTACTTTCCAGTTAGATCCAACGACTTATCTTAAAATATAGTCCACTCTAGGCAATAAATCACTCAGATCGCTAGTCACATTTTACATTTGATAAGTGAAATTTCTTTGACACATTCGTTAGTTTTCAGTGATCAATTTTTATGTCAAACTGTTTGTTCCTTGTTGGTTATGGGTTGTAGAAATTGTCGAAGTCCACTGATATCATGAGCCAATATGTGTTAGATAGTAAATGAAAACCTAGAAGTTCTGAAAGGCCTTTTCATTTAGGTATGAGACTCCTCAGTAGTGTACATCAGCGACCCCGCATTATCTTTTTATTACTTGAAGCGTTAAATATTAGTAAATTAACTAAATAACTCAGACTTTTAATGATGAGATTAGACGTGAAAGACGCTTTTTTGGATTTTTAAATTATAGGTGAAAGACAAGGGATACTTCGTTTTAGTCTACAATTTAACAAAATGTGTATCTTTCCAAAAAACTAATGACACTAACCAATTAAACAAAATTATTTAGCATATAAGAAGAAATTTAGATGGATGATTTTAACTGATGTTCTCAATATTTGACTGAATCATAATTTCAACAAATCCTAGATTTGAAAAATTCACACTGATCAAATCATTTTATCGAATCGAAAATCGTTATTTAGCTAACTCCTATTCGGACTTAGTATCTAAACATTTCAGTTGACTACTTAAAATCAAATATCTATCCAAGATTGACAGAAAAGTCGATGTAGACTGATGTGAATGAAATCATTGATTCCTATTTGTTAAGTAGACACAATAAATATAGGATGAACATTCTACACCTATTCGTGGTTCAAATAACTTGATTAATCAATACTCGAACGTACGACTACTAGTTAATTCATTATCATGATTTTAATTATATGGAACAAATGAACACTATCTGGAACTAATTTAAACTAAACGTGTTTTTGCGTTTACAGTTTTTTATATCATACTTTCGTGATTCAGTTTACGGCAGTAAAGAAATTACACAACTTAAAAGGTCAAAAGTTTCGTTAACTAATATCAACGTGCAATAAGAGCTATTATTACATTGACCGAATGTCCACAGATCACTTAGATGGATTTTAACCTAGGGTTCACAGATTCGAGAATAGGGCTATAGGGTACTCGTGAGGAGTTACAAATTGTTGATTTGACTATATAGGGTTTGGAGGGGGAGTTGCTCTTTGGTGATATAAGATGAGAGTTATGGTATATCACAAATTGAGTTTAGGAAAATTGGATATTAGTAGTTAAGTGCTATTACATTCACTATGAATATTGTAGCTTTTTGATTCATAGTACCGTAAAGTAGGACATACAAACTTCTGTGAAGTGTACCATTTTATTGAAATACTGTTGACCAAATCTCACTGATTCTCACTATTTCTTTACCCGTAATCTGTCTACATCGATCGTCATCAAGGTGCACATAATTTCACATGTTAATTTTTTTCATACATTTAGATATGTCATTAATTAAACATCGGCGATTTCACGTTTCTAGCTAATGAGAGGAAACATCCCACTATTTTGTAAACACATTTTCTTAGTTTTAGTAAATCCGTTAACTTAATATTCAGGGAAATCATGTTGTACGAAACATTCCTTCGTAGCTTCTAAATATAGAAGTAAATGAAAATTAACTCTAAAAATAAATATTTTAAAATGTTTAGTCTATATTTCTTCCTAATATTTGTAAGAAATAACCACTTTGACACATTGATTTTATGAACTATATTTGAATGGCCTGAATTATTATGACATTAGAAATAATAATAATAATAATTAATCATAGTCATTAATCCATTCCAAGATGTGTATTTCACTCTAATCAGAGGATGAACTTAGATTTCAGTTTGTTGACGATATCCCTGACACAAATATTCCAATAGTCAACTCTTTAATCATCAAACTATTTCAATATAAAAAGAGTAACTATTATTCATCAATACTTATCGATTTTATTGGAAACAAATACCGGATCTATCATAGGTGATGTTATTTGTGAATATGCACACTTAAATGATAAATACAAATGTTATTCAATAAGATTAGGTATGTTATTGAATTATTTTAGTAATAAGTGAGTCTATAATTTGCAATACCTAATCAACTAGCTAACTAACCAACTTACTTACTTTCGAAGTATAATGCATAAATTCATAATAAATTATTAGAATCATTGTTTAATCTAATTATTCTTCATGATTATTAAAGATGAAATATTAATTCTTTTACAATTTATCGTTTATAAACGAATCCAGAAAGTTAATTTTTTTATATATAGTTGAAATCATGAATCAATCAAAGCTAAACCACCATAGAAAATCTGAAAGCACTGGACGAGTGTTTCGTCCTATTGTGAGACTCCTCAACA